GCTCCTCCTGCTCATTCTTAAAAGAATAGACGACCAACGTACACATATGTATAATTTGTCACTGCTAACAATTTTTTGATTTACCTTATTTATTTATTTATGTATTTATTTATTGTAGAGTAGCTCCCTCTCTGTCTCTGAGCCTTCATTTGTTTGTAAGCAGAAATGTGAACATTTCTCGCAGCTTCAAGTCGTCCGGGTGTCACTTCCCGTGCGTGGACAGCCTGCTGTAGCTCCCACTCAGTGTGGATAGTGCGGAGCCATTACTATGAATGGATGTGATGCTAACTAGCTGCTGCTGCTCCTCCTGCTCAGTCAAAATGGCGCTGAAGACAAAGGAGAATGTGAACAATGAGCAGTGGCAGCCATTACAGGATGACTGGCCCACAGTGACAGGCGCAGTGTGTGTGTGTGTGCGTTTGTGTGTGTGCAGCCTGTTTGTGGGGGAGTATGCAGCTAAGGGATCAGACAGGATGGGAAACAGCAGAGTAGCTCTTCATGGCTGAAAGCTGTTTTTTGCTCTACTCTAAGGGAAAAGTCAGTTATTTCTGCTCCATGAGTCTGAGAGAGGAACATTTTGCCTCTTTCAGCCTTTATATAAAAACTATAAACCATGATGACTGTTGTACACATTTACTATCACAGTGTATGTTTAGGGGCAGAGCTGAAATATTTTGTCTCATTATAAACTCTCTAAATCAGACAAACCAACCCATTAAATATACACAAGAGTTACATATTGACTAGTTAGAAATTGTCCAAATATATTTTAACTTACAGTAAGTATTGAAAATAGTTAACTTAAGATAGGCATGAAGCTATTTTTTTCTTTATGTGAAAGTTGAATGTTACCAATGTAAACAACAAACAGAAGAAGGTCGAATCACCGGAAAATATGTTAATATATTTTACAATATTTATTTATTTATTTTTTAGCTGTGCTTCAGTTTAAGAATAAACCTTTAATATATTGTGTTCAGGAAAATATCAGACAATTATTAGTTTTCAATATCTCTGACTGATTACAAGTAAACATAAACAGCAGCACAGTCTAACAGAAAATTATTATTAAGGAATATTTAAGTGTCAAGAAAAGAAAATTTAAAGTCATATTTTAATATCACAGTACAAAGCAAATTTTGCTAAAAAGAAATGATTCTTCAGACTCTATTTTTAAAAGTAATATGATCCTATTTTTATTCATGAATATGAATGTTTCTCAATAAATGATACTTTAAGGCAGGGCTATTAAACAAAATTGCTTGGGGGGGGGGGGGGGGGGGTATAACAATTTCTGAAAACCAACAGCTTGTGGGCTGGACATCCAGCGATTAAAATCAATATGTAAATAAACCAAAGTTTACAATGATTTCTCACCTTTAAAAATTGTCTATTTTATTGCATTATTAATGCAGTAAACAGAACCAAAAAACCTAAACTCAGAAGAACAACAAACTTAATAATATTTTTTATTTTACTTTATTGTTTTAATGAAGTGGGCCGGATTGAAGTCACCCTCTGGCCGGAAATGGCCCGCGGGGCCACTAGTTGAATAGCCTTCTTTAATGACTGAACAGTGTTTTCACTTCTTCTGACTCAGTTTTGCTGATCAAAATGTATGCAGGAAAACATTAAAACAACAACACGGTGCAGTTATTTAGATTTTTTGTGTAAATAAAGATTTTATATTCATAAAATGAAAACTATGTTCATGCAGCGCTCCTCATGGCAGGTTGAAATGAAAAACAAAAACGTGTCCACCCACGTGATTTTACACTTCCATCTCCTTTCAACTGGCAGCTTTTATCAAAAATAATGTTTTTATATAGATCAGATTTTCACAGAAACTTCCCACAACACAAAACAACAATGTTGCTCCTATTTATATTAAATTCTGTCTTACAAAACAAAATATCAAAAGGACTTTGTTAAGTACGAATAATTTTTGATTTGTGTGTGTGTATAGCATTACTTCTAATATATATATATATATATATATATATATATATATATATATATATATA